CGGCCCTAAACCCCAAAACCCCTACTTACTAAACCCCTAAACCCTAAACACTAAAGCCTAAACGGCCCTAAACCCCTAAACCCCTACTTCCTAAACCCCTAAACCCTAAACATTAAACCCAAACGGCCCTAAACCCCTAAACCCCTACTTCCTAAACCCCCGAAACCCTAAAACCTTAAACCCCTACTTCCTAAACCCCGAAATCCTAAAACCTTAAACCCCTACTTCCTAAACCCCTAAACCCTAAACACTAAAGCCTAAACGGCCCTAAACCCCTAAACCCCTACTTCCTAAACCCCTAAACCCTAAACCCTTAAACCCAAACGGCCCTAAACCCCTAAACCCCTACTTCCTAAACCCCTAAACCCTAAAACCCCTAAACCCCTACTTCCTAAACCCCGAAATCCTAAAACCTTAAACTCCTACTTCCTAAGCCCCGAAATCCTACGCGGTTTCGGTCTTCCCTGAGGACCGGGCTCACCTTCCACCCGTAAGAAGGACGCGACATCCTGGCGTCCAGCCCAGGGGGTCGGAGTACCCAAATAGTGAGGTTTGAGGTCCCAAAACCCATACTCTGAATGGTTTTTGGTTTAGGGTTTCGGGTTTTAGGGTTTAGGGTTTAGGGTTCTAGGGTTTAGGGTTTAGGGTACTATAGTAAGGTTTTAGGTCCCAAAACCCATACTCTGAATGGTTTTTGGACCTTGAAACCCTACTATTTGGGTACTTGGACCCTTACTTGGAGGATCATGGGACTTAGTAAGTAAGGTTATAAGTACCTTAATTGGGGTTATAAGTAATTCAAGTATAGTTACCGTATTTATAACCCTAGTTACTAAGTCCCATGATCCTTTAATTAAGTAGGGCAGTGTCATTCAACGGCTGTGTGGGGGGTGCGCTACAGCGACCTAACTACTGTGGATGATTTGAATCTGCATTGGGTTTAGGGGTTTAGGGTTTAAGGTTGAAGGTTTAGGGCTTAAAGGTTTAGGGTTAGGGTTTAGGGTTTAGGGTTTAGGGTTTAGGGTTTAAGGTTTAGGGTTTAGGGTTTAGGGCTGTTGATGATATAAATCATGGTATATTCCGCATTATGGGTACTGCAGGATTTATATCATCAACCGTAGTTAGACTAACTTACGAGCTACATATTACGCAGCCATATTTCCACAAAAGAACTTCCATTATTGTTGTGAGTATTCCGATTATGAACATCACTGTTTGCATTCTTATTGTTCTTAGTACACAATACGACTCTGAGTAATCAGTACTAGTTACTCCTTCCCAGGGTTCCTTGTTGCAGCTTTCGTACAGTATACCCATAACCCGTTTCTAATCATTAAGGCCTCCAAAGTAACCTAGCACTCTAAACCCCAAACCCTGAACCAGGAAACCCTAAACCCTAAACCCTAATCCCTAAACCCAACACCCTTATAAACCCTAAACCCTAAACCCCTAAACCCTAAACCCTAAACCCTACACCCTTATAAACCCTAAGCCGCCTACCACCTTGCAATGGGGAATACCCGCCGTCTTCATCCTTTCGAAGGTTTAGGGTTCAGGGCTCAAGGTTTAGTTTAGGGTTTAGGGTTTAGGGGTTTAGGGTTTAGGTTCTAGGGTTTAGGGTTTAGGGTTCAGGGCTCAAGGTTCAGGGTTTAGGGTTTAGAGGGCCCGGTGGAGGCTTTGTTCACTTCCCCCTATAGTTCTTTAAGTTTCAAAGCTTAGGGTTTTAATCTAGACCTCTGCCGTACTGCGCCGACAAGCGTGGGAAAAGTTGCTAGCATTCCTACCACCCTAAACGCTAAACTCTAAACCCAAAGCTCTGAATCCTAAACCCTAATCTTTTATCTCGTTTCGAGGCACGATGCTGCAGGTCTGCGTCCGCTCCGCTGTCGTGTGCATAGACCCAAAACGAAACCCAACCCAAAGGCGCTAAGGACTAATCATGTAGGGTCCTGAAAATAATTACCTATACTATTTTGGGGGTTCCTATAGAATAATTACCAATACTATTGTGGGGGGTTCCTTACTATAATCATAGTAGAATGGGCCCGAAAACCCTATTCTGATTATTAAGTTTGGGCCTGAGGGTTGATGGAATACCACCTGAGCCCGAAACCCTAAAGCAAAAACTGTAAGGAACCGTTTTGGGTAGTTCTCTGAAATAGGGTCCCTTCTTGGGTCCGCAAAATAGTACGGCACTCTTATACAAAGGACCCTAAAATCTAAAAGGGACCCTAATTCCGCAAAATAGTACGGCACTCTTATACAAAGGACCCTAAAATCTAAAAGGGAGCCTCATTTAGAGAACTACCCTTCCAGAAACCCATGAAAATAGTGCCCGAAACCCAATCCCCACAGCCCCAAGGACACCCTACGATCCCAAGGCTCTTAACCAACCTAGCGAAACTCGAGCCGGAAATGCCACACAGCTCTTCCAACCCCATAGCACGCAGACTACACACAACACGGCCGTGTAAACTGTAGCCTGTCACACACGCCAAACCCTAAACCCTAAACCCCTGAACCCTAAACCCTAAACCCTAAACCAAGCGTGCCTGGTAGTTTGGCAGAGTTGCAGACAGTGCCACGATGCCTGAACCCAGACAACCCAGAGTGATCCACACCTTCATGTAACTAGAATACCCATAGGCCCCATAGTAGTTCCTTTTGGGGGTTACCTTATAGGATTCTATATATGAACCCCAGAAAGGTACTACTGTAGGGCCTATGGGTAGGGGCTCCTTTAAAGGGTCCCTTTACGGGCTTCTTAGAGGTTCCTTAAAGGGTTCCGCTAAAAGGCTCTCACCTCGATTCAAGCTTTAAAATCTAACCCTCAACCCTCAACCCTAAACCCCAAGCCCTAAATCCTGAAATGAAGGAACGAAGAGGTTGAGCAAGGGACGGCTGGTGTCGGGCTTAGGGTTTTATGATTGCTTTCAGGGTGCCTTTACCCTTACCCTCAAAGGACTCATGCTTTTTAAGGCCTTAGGGCCCAAAAACTTTATGATATCAGGCTTTTTGGGGCTACTTTGATGCTAAGGGTTACGGGTTCATGCTTTTTGAGGCTTTTGGGCCCAAAGACCCTACTATATAAGGCTTTTTGGGGCTACTTTGATGCTAAGGGTTCGGGGTTCTGTAAGTCGGGCTCGGGTTTGGGACGTTTTTTCTGCGTAGGACTTAAACGCAGGGGCCTTATTCCCATATACTATGAATCCCTATATGGTATATGAACCTAAAACCCTTTTAGGGTTCATTTCGTCCCTAAGGTTTGGTTTCGGTTACGTATGGATTTCTGGCCCGGAAGCAAATGCTGATTGCTCTGCATGGTGTGAAGCATTTCAAGAACCCCATAAACCCCAAAACCCTCAACCCTAAAACCCGAAAACCCTAAACCCCAAACCCCAAACCCTTTTGTTTTGCATCCAGGCCTATTGCGACTG